GAGGACACTGGGTAAAACATAGCAGCCTGCCCCTCCAGTGAAGACATGCCATCTGCACTCCAACAGCTGCTCCACTGGCAAAAGCAAAACAGCTGAAATTCCTCATCATGTAGACCGCATTGATCCTAGTACCCTGCAAGCTCTGGTCTCCATGAGGGCTGGCTCTCTCTGCGGCCTCACCCCAGCAGGGAACAATCATGCGTCACCTGCTACTTCTACAAAAAATGCCTTTCTGCAAGTCCACTAATGAAATCCACCTGACAGCCGAGTAAAGGGATCCTTCACAGCGCGGCTCCAGAGGCCTCTGAGAAGGGAGGTAGCAGCCAGCCTCTGAAGCCAACTTGTCACTCTGTGCTCCACACACTGCTGACTCCAGCCGATACCCCAGTGCTAGCTATTAACTCCAGCAGGGCTTTGCAGTTGACTTAATTAAAGGGTTGTACAAACATTCATGCATATCTGTGTCTTCACTTACTGACCCCAAAGGAGACGATAGCAAATCCCTCAGGACACCATCAGCCTGAAATAGTTTCAATCTGTGTGTTTGTGAATTAAATGTTTTGGAAAAACGTTACAATAAAAAGACACCTTCCACAGTAACAATTACCTGCACTGTACCTGCAGGAGGGTCCATGTAACCACAGCCTCCAAAGCACTTACCAGTGTGGCGTCTAAGTGCTAAACAGAAATGCAGGAGTAAGGAGGAGCAGGTGTTCCCTCTCCTGTGCAGGGCAGGTGCAACTTGTCTGCATCTGGGAGCAAGGCTCCTGCTGCCTGCTTTGTCCAGCTCCAGTCATTAATTTGTGCTCGGAAAGCAGCACGAGCCATGAGGCAAAGAGAAGGGGGCACTGGTTTTTGTCCATGCAGAGGTGAAACAAACCAGCCCATACCACGATGGCCATCAATCTCGTTAATAGTAGGAGTGGGCAGCACAGCCACAGGAGACTGCCACTTTCAGCAAGCGAACTGAACCTAATCCTAAGCAAAAGCTAACAAGCCGACAGATGCCCTGTGCTTCTCCTTTCCAGCCAATGCCATGCATCTTTCTCCTGTTGAGGCTGTGCAAATTCTCTCTCTCTAGTAGCAGACTCCAATTGGCACTGAAGGCTGCAGCATGACACAGCACTATCTGCACACAGGTTGCAAGGCCTCCACTGGAGACATCCAGACTTCCTGATCTGCAGCCTGGTCTGAAACCAAGACTGACACTGCAGATGGAGGCTTCTGGAACTTGGCTCCCATCACTTTGTGGATAACTGTACCAGGAAGCAATGGGCTGGCCAGCGATTGCTGGGGTTGTGCGCCAGTCTCCTGGAGCACAACACTCGGGTAGGTGGACTGGGTACTGAGATTTTCACCTCCGCACAGAAGTGACCAGCAGAGAAGAAAACCCCACTGTGTGTTTATCAGACATTAATAGCAATAGGGCAAAGCACGGTCAAATACTTCAGCTGTCCTGGAAGTACCCATTCATCTCAGAGCATGGGGATTTGCTGGAAAGCATGTCAGGTTCTCAGAGCAGTCCCCCCGAGGGTCCTGCTGACGTAGCAATTACAGGTATACCCTCTGGCATTACATGTACACCCGCAGAAACTAGGTCTTTAAATACCTGTGCTCAGACCACAGATCTCCAAAGATGAAGGATCTTCCACCAGATCCTTCTTCATTCATCACCAAGAAACAACAGAAAATCCCACATAATTCTGCCAAGGGGCCAACAGGGACCTGGGAGCCCAACACAGAGACTGGGACGAACCCAGGGTTCAGACCTTGCTCAGAACAGAGGGTAATGCATTGCCACTGTCTAGCACAGCTCCCAAAGAGGCCAGGTGAGCAGGAAGCACTGTGACAGACATGCTCACAGATGGAAGGACACTTCAGAAAGTGAGATGACAGAAGAGGGGAAGAACAGATGGCGCAGACAAGGACTCTGCTAGAGAAGTGAGAATGGCTGAAGAAAAGCGGGGAAAATGACTGAACTGTGAGAGGAGCCATCAAGGCCCACAGCTTATGATCCAAAGCATGATCTGACTTTTACAGAGAAGTTGAGAACCTTCAGATCATAATAATCAACCAGCAGTTCTGCCCAGGATGTCAAACCTTGGGCTTCAGGG